ATCTCAAACTGTGTCCATGTTGTTGTGAACTGGCGAGTTCATCCAGACTTTTATGCAGTCAGTAAACGATATGGGAAGTGTTTCCTCTTCACAGAAGCCTGTTTATTTTTATGCGGTTAGTTGCATTTTATAATTTGCATTTTGCATTGTTTTTCCTCTTCAGAACAGGCCCGTGACCCATTTTCGGGTCTCTCCCCGCCAGTTGAGAATCATTGGTCTGGGCGTCTCGAAGCAGTGATCTAAATGCTCTCAAGTTAAAGTGCTTGTGTTTCTGTCACCCATCATCAACAGCAGGGTCAATACTCGTTGTCTCAAGAGGCCTGATGGAGAACACAGAGACCCATCCTAATCAGAGGTGGTTATTCATAGCAGCGCACTCACTCTAAATGCATTCATGAAGTATTCATCAAGCCTCTAACACAGGCTTTTCATCTCGTTAAATCAGCCTGTTAGTGTTTTTGTTTTGTACTTTTTTTAGCCAACATATCTAGTACGAGAGCTAGTTAGTTATTGCCTCCGTCATGTCGGCTTCCCTCAGACTCGGCTCGCTGTTATCATGTTTGATGAGTTTGCCCTCTATTTTTCATCCTTGTACCATGGTGATTTTACTTGCCTTAAATGTCAGCAACTGAACTTCACTGATCTTTATGTCTCGCTAGACTGCCGTCCTGTCATTTTCTTTTACTTTTTTTCCTAGATAAACATTTTTATTAAATTTTTTTGCAAACCCTTTACGGTAAGGTTCAGTTTGGTAACATTAATTTATGCATTAGGTATCAGGAATTAAAAACAAACAATACTTTTGCAGAATAAATTAACATTATGTACAAAAACGAATAAATAAACAATAGTGTATTTATAAATTACCATTCAAAATCTTTATAATTTTTCATGATACCTAAAGGTTTTTTTTTTTTTTTTTTTTAAATGCCTGGAAATAAGGTAAGTACAATACAAAGGTAAATATACAATACAAATAAGCACAACAATGAGATTTTATTTTTGTAATGATATTACATTCCACAGTTTTAACATTTTTTTCCCAGAATTTATTTTCTCTCTCTTTTTTTTTTTTTCTTAAACATTTTTACAGTTTTATTCATTTTTTTTTCAGGTACTCAACAGACACATTACTGATGAAAAAGATCCGATAACCCTTTAGGCTTCAGTGTCCCATTAAAAAGCTGCAGTTTCACCAATTCTGCTACTTTTATAATTTTATTTTTACATTTTGAAGACAAAAATATTCCCGCTCATGTTTCCCATCCCACCCCGCTCAACAAATAACTGAACAAAGGCTGACAACTGTTGGCTGTGATGTAAACATTTGTGTGAATGTAATGTGTAGATTGTGTAAAGGAATCTGTGATCCTGAGCCCATATTACCTACATGCCCAACGCTTCATGATCTTCCTTTGAGGAGAGTCCTAAAAATGCCCACTAAGTGACAGTTAGGCTGTTAGTTTTTATTCATTCCACTTTCATTCACTATAAGCATCACAATGATCCATACAAAACTTATGAAATGCAGTTCACTACCTGCTTTCGGTCTAGGACGGATGCCAATTAAGCTGTAATTGAAAGTGTTTATTCTCGGCGTCTGATGCGAGCATCTGCCTTTCGGTGCTCTTTGATGTCTTTATAGTCTGTGATTGAACACCCCTCTTTGCCTTGTTGGTGAAAGGAGTGAATTTAAGTGCGTTTTTAAATATTACATGTTTTTCTCAAATAGGACTGTGGAACTGGTTTTATTTGAGAAGTGTTGTGTACAACCAGCGACTGACCTCATTTATGTCTTCGCCTAGGAGCGTAATCCATGGACTGAAATACATATTTTCCTCCTAAGTGTGTCAAGGAACACTATCTTATATAAGGCCAGATGGGCTTGTTGCAAGATGGCCCTAAAACAGATTGTTTATTGTGTATTTATGCAGGTTTTCTGTTGCATGCACATTGTAATCAAGCACTGTGGAGTTTGTTGGCTGTGTTTGGTCGATTTGTTGCTTCTGGAAAGTGTGAAGAAGTCTTCTGGAGTTCTGGATGTTTATGTAATTTCATGGCCAATTGCATTGTCAGCATGCAACAAAGTCTTTTTTACTTGAATGCTGCCACACCAATCACCCAAAGCGCCCATAAATCTGTCAGAAACCTCTTCTGAATGCTTCCCATGAAGACTGCTGGAGCCATACCTCATCAATACAGAGTTGAGGAGGAGACTTGTTTTTTTGTTTTTTTTTGGAACTGTTGGCTATGTTTATGGTGAAAGATCCCATGAAATGGTTTTGGAAGTAGTGTTGGGATGGATCATTTTGAAATGGCCTTTAGAAACGGCCTTTAGTTTGTCACAGCTCTGCAAAACGTCACTTGGCAGCTTGTTTTATAAATGAACGCAATGAAAACTCTCAAAATGAATGAACTTCAGCTGCAACCAATTAATGGTTGTTAAAGAACTAAAGTATGAGCATTAGCACAACCAATGATGCTTTGTTTCTTGCTATGGATATTTGGAAGCAGGTGATATTTATGATTTAGGTTGTTTAGCTTCAAGTAAAATGAAACGGCCCTGAAACCGTTAAAGGGATAGTTCACCCAAAAAACAAACCTGTTTGAGTTTTTCTTCTGTTGAACAAAAATAAGGCATTTTGAAAGGATGTAGGTTACCAAACAATTGCTGGTAGCCATTGATTTCCTTTTTTTTTTTTTTTTACCCCATTTCTTTCAGAATTTTCATTTTTGGGTGAGTTATCCCTTTAATCAACATCTACGAGGAGAGGAGAGCTTTTTAAATGGGTTTTCCCATGGCTTTTGACAAATTTAAATTTTTGGTCCTTTGTGACAAGAATTAAAAAAATTAAATAAAAAGGAATGCATTCATGAATAGCAATTTATAGGCAATGACATTTTTTTGAGCAGAGCCTTACTATACATCCACTATAGAATTTTTTGACATTTCATGATTTTTGATTTTTGATTTATTTCATGACTTTTCCACGGCTGGAAATCCCAATTCCCTGATCTGCGAATCTTTCAATGATCCCTTAAATCTGCTAAAAGTTGGTTTTGTCCATGTTTAGGAGTACACTAGTGTAAATACTGTATACGGCTTCAATGTCAATAAACATGAATATTTCATGGGGTCTTTAAATATGTAATCGCCCATTCTTTGTACAGCAGTAACCTGACAGACTTGATTGGACACCAGTTGACCACTAGTTGAGCCGTTGGCCATCATGCTAATGTGTGGAACCGAGAAAGTCTATGAAAGAAACCTGGCAGGTATTTTCCTTTATTTATTTTTTTTTTTTGGCAAATCTCCCTTCTAGAAATCTGTAAACATGGACTTGCTGCAAAGCTAAATCTCCCGAGAAAGTCTATGAAAGAAACCTGGCAGGTATTTTCCTTTATTTATTTATTTTTTTGGCAAATCTCCCTTCTAGAAATCTGTAAACATGGACTTGCTGCAAAGCTAAATCTTCTAGTGTAGGTTTTTGGCATGGATGAATGAGTGTGCTGATTCGCCAGTGACCCTTGTGTCAGCACTGGCGAGTGTGTCCCTTCATAGCACGCTGTTTTATGGCTGCTCAAGTTATTTTTTTTTTAATGCATTTATAGCATGTGAAATGGATAATAAAAAGTTTCAGATTGCGAAATGAGTGCGTGAGAAGAGAAATTATGAAAACAGCTTGAGGGAACCAATTGCATGTCGGCTTAGAGATTGTATTAAGCTTGTGCTTGCCGCCTGTCCTCCATTTCGAGGTCATGATTCCACAGATGTGCCTCTTTTGTGCACCGCTGCTGTCTCATGTAATCACGAGGCACTTACATACCACATCCTGTTTTGGGAGTTCCCTTTATGTAAAGAGACGCATAGTTAAACAGGGCAGGAAGTTGGATTCAAATGAGGATTTCTTTTGTCAGCCCATAGATGCTTTCAGAAGAGAAGTCGGCATGCGTTCCCATCAAATGGCATAAATGCCTCCCTCCAGACAAGCTTAAGGCAATAACAGTGTGATGTTGAGTTGTCTTTCTGTCTACGTCAGTCGTGTCTACAGGGACTAAGTGTTCGCTGTCTAAAACAGGATATGGCATCTTTCCTTTCCAGTAATTCTTGGTTCAACAAAAGCCTACCTGATTTCCCCCAAGGCAGGTTTTTGAATTTATGCATTATTCTTTTTGGGTTTCCTTTTTTTTTTTTTTTTTCATATGGAGACCACAAAACTCTCTCACACACATACTATATTGATAGTAGCTAAAGAATTTGCACACTTCCTACACACTCATTCACACTCATGATGACTGTAATTACTAAAAAACAAAGAAAGAAGCACATAATAAAATCGAAAGCATGTTAGAAATGTCCATTGATACCATTTGGACATGAATAAGAAATGAAACATGGAAAATGCTCAAAAAATGTCCTCCCCGTTAGGATTTGTTTGTTTTCTCTTCTGGAATATTATAGGTATTATTTTTCTCTTTACAATTTGCTGTACAGCAATAGCAACATAACGTCATGAGCAGGCATCTCCAATTCCTGAAATCTTCCTGGTTTATGCACGAGCGGATCCTTAGCCGCATCCCAAGAGGCATTGCAATAGTCTCCAGGGTCCGAGACAAATCGGCGGATTTAGCCACAACAGATCCAAATCGCATTAAAGTTGTGAAAGCCTCATGGTCTCGGTGCTCTTGATTTGTCCGAACTCCTGGGCTTTAAACATTGGCACTGGACCTCCATACTTGTCCAGATACAAATACCATAGTCTCTAGGTTTGGCAGTTTTTAGACGTCAGTCCAACAGACATGTCAATATCCATCCTTGCAGCATCAGAATGAGCAATACTGTCTGTTTTTTGCTTCATTCGTCACCATTTTCTTGTGCTCACCAAAGTCACAACTTTGAAAGGATGACTGTTTTCCTGTGTAGGATCTTGATGACGGAAAGTCCCGTTGATATTATCTTTACAATTATCCGTGATATTTTAAATGTTTTTTTTTTTTCATTTTTTGTCTTTGTTTTCTTTTAAACGATCAGGACACTCAGTTGTAGATTCACACACGTGGTTAAAAAAATGGCCTGGTTGGTGAGATTAGAAATTATTCTAAATGAACGTGATTTTAATCTTCAGTTATGGTCTTTTTTTTTCTTATGTGTTTTGTACCCAATTGTCCAGCTGCACACGTAGGCTTGGGGATTTTCAGAGGCTGTCCCTTAACACACGGTGCCGTTTTCTTGGCGGGATTTGGGGCACGTGGAGCGAGGGATCGGCTGTACTGAGGGCGCCAGCGTGCAGAAGAACCCGGCGATGAGGGACAGGCCCAAACCACCCCAGGCGCAGAACATTGACCAGCCGTAACCGTGACTGATGTCATCTGGGAGGCCGTATATGTAGCGAGGGTAACGGGACAGCTCGAAGTTGATGCCTGCTACACAGGTGCACAAGGAAATGATGCAAAATGTGCCTGAAAAAGAGAAAGGCAATCATCAGAATGTTCATCCAACTGAAGTTTCATACATTTACTGTGCTGACTTTGAGTTCCAGTTCAGTGGAAATCTGCAGATATTTCCGTAGAGGTCTACATTACAAGTGAATCATACAAATAGTGGTCTTTGCGCAAAGTAAGCCCACACTTGACCCTTCGCAAAGACCCGTAGCACTTAGTTACTGTTGCTGTGTCCGACAAGCTATGGTGCTCTCAATGCCACACATCATGTTCTCACGCAGTGAAAAATACATTGCGGAGCAAAGTGGAAACTGACAAAGACAGAGCCGGTTACTTTAGGTATGAAACAAAGTCTCAATAAATAGTAAATTTTTAAGTAATTCAAACAATAAATGCTGTTTTGTGGCTCTTTAATGTGTCGTGACAGATCGCTGTAGCTCCTCCAAGCAGCACGTGAACCGATCATCTCCTTTTTACTAGCTATAGCTAGAAATAAACATGAATGAACATCAGACGATATCATTTCAACAGCGGAAAGACCTGTTTAGTTTGCAGATTCGGCATTATAATTGGTCAGATCGTCTGTCAATCAAACTCCCGGTGAATTAATTCCAAAAGAGTCGGGCGTTAACACATGCTAAGCTAATACTTTAATAAGCAGCAAATAATATTAAGTAAAAATAGCACAGCAAATGCAAATATTGGGGAACTGACCAATATGAAATTAAGAAAATTATTTTTATATAACTTTTTCACTGACCATTTAGATGTGAGCTTAATGTTACACTTTTAGCAATGCTAATAGGTGAATAAATATGTGACCCTGGACCACAAAACCAGTCATAAGTTGCTGGGGTATATTTGGAGCAAAAGCCAACAATACATTATATGGGTGAAAATGATCGATTTTTCTTTTATGCCAAAATCATTAGGATATCAAGTAAAGATCGTGTTCCATGAAGATATTTTGTAAATTTCCTACCATAAATATATCAAAACTTAATTTTTGATTAGTAATATGCATTGCTAAGAACTTAATTTGGACAACTTTAAATGGGATTTTCTCATTATTTCGATTTTTTTGCACCCTCATTCCTTATTTATTCAGCTTTCAGATGATGTATAAATCTCAATTTTAAAAAATTTACCCTTATGACTGGTTTTGTGGTCCAGGGTCACATGTGCATCCTAGACATATGGTCTCTATTGATTTTGCTAATTATATAATTGTGATAATTTTAGAATTGCTGGGACTGCATATACATGCAAATAAATATGACAAATTAGAGGACTGGAGAACAAAAACATCACAAGCTGGCTTTGATGAGATGGTCAGGAGTTATTTAAATAGAGCTACCAAACCAAATAATGATTTTCGAAGAGAAATCTATAGAAAATTGTAAGTGAATTTGCAATGGCAGCTTTCTGTCTATAGCCTGCCCTACACTGTCATTAATTGCAATCAATTGTATTTTCGATGTGCCGCATTGGCTGTGTTAGGCTACAGGCCTACTACAAGCTGCGGTTGTTATATGTTATTACATAACATTGCAGTGACAGCCAATCATACAGTTGCAGACTCGGCATATTCACAACTCCTCTTTCTCAAGCCTTGTTTCATATATTACAAGCTTTATCTGCAAGTCGAGCCCTGTATAGATGACGCTGTCGTAACATGCTACTTGATAAAGAGCTCTAACAAACTCATTTTCCCACACCATGTGACCGAGCCAACATTCAGAGGGGATTCATCCTGCCATAATCTGACCCTCAGCGCTCCTTCTGCCTTTATAATTTAGCATCTTAATTGGCTTTTTAATTGCCATCTCATTATTCAGGCACAGGGCATCACATTAATCCAGCGCACATCTTAATTGCGTCTCCGCTTCAGTCTCTTATGGGAGCGGAGAGAGTGACTCAAAACAAGTTGGCCGCTTCCTCTGCTCGACGGGCGTTAACAGAATATCAAAATGCTCGGTAACGAGGCCACAGGCTGTGTTGATTGGTGTGAGCAGCATCTGTGTTGTGAGGTGATGAGCTCGTGGGTGCGTTCAAAAGACAGAGCGATGCTCACTGTCGAGAGCCTCGATATTGGTTGGCGTAAAGTGAGATAAGAGATCAGGAGATAATTGAGATTACGTAATTGCTTTAATGCCGGCTTCCTGGCTGTCACTCATTAATTAATGCAGTCTTGGGGTGACTTGCGTAGGAATTATTGACTACCACAATGAGCTCAGCACACAGTATTTACACAGTATATCTGTCTGTCTGTCTATCTATCTACACACACACACACACGCACAGTGAATGTGTATATACTGTGTGTATGCTTTATATATGTGTGTGGTTTTGAATTTTATATAATATTTATACATGTGGTTTTATTATTAAATGATCTGTAATGAATTCACAATTTATTTATATAATTAATATATTCGTTCATATGTAATTTTTTCATTTTTATGTATATAATGATATATATACTGTATATAATATAATGAAATATACATGTATGTACATGTATGTGTATTTATATATAATATATATACATGGTTTTATTGATTTTATTTATGATTTTATTAAATGATTCTTCAATTAAAATTATATTAATAATATATTAATATATTTTTTATTTATATAGTTTTCTTTCATTTATATTATATTATATTATATTCACGGACACACAACATTTTTGAGAAATATTTGCAAAATGACTCTTCTCTGTGGGTTTCCAAAAATATTTCAAGTAATTTGCTTGTTTTTACTAAAGTGTGTTCTTTTCATTATGTTGATATTAATTTAATGGACTTTATGGGATTTTTTTTTTTTTTTTTTGTCAAAATAGCATTTTACCTGTTCAGGTAAATTAGCTAAATTAATTTCCCAACCTTTTTCCTGGAGCACATCAACACTAAACTTTTTTTCCCCCCCAAAATATTCCTAATTAAACACACCTGATTCAACTCATCAGCAGCTCGTTAATAGAGACTCCAAGACCTAACGGGAATGGGTCAGATAAGTCAGACATCCAAAAGGTGTGCCTTCAGGAACACGGTTGGGAAACCTAGCAAAAATGCAGACATTGTATACATTTTTTTTAATTTTATGTTTTATTTTATTTTCTATTCTATTCTATTCTATTCTATTCTGAGGTTTTCATAATAATAATATATAATAATATAATACCAAATGTATTTCAACATTCATTTATTATCCAAAAACATGTCTTAATTTTTGTCTCAAAATCACTTATCGTACATTCCAAATCTACTTCCAGCTTGGACAAGTTCAATGGAGCAGGAGATGCAACTGATACAGATGTGTTTTCAAGGTGAAAAACTTTTTATTCACTTTCAGTGTTGTGTTGTGTTGTGTTTTTATAAATTGTGCCCAGATAAGCTAAGCAATTAAGTTGAATTTTGACCAAATTTCATTCATTCATGAAGCTTAATTAAGTTATAATAATTGTCATCAGGGAAAATGTTAACATCCTCACATTATTTATATTTGTATAGATTTTATTTATTCTATATATATATATATATATATATATATATATATTTGTGTCTACAGATTATGCTATATAACTTGATTTAATTATAATTTAATCCGTGTACATACTGTAAACAGCCTATATTGTCCATGTAGGCTTGTTTTGATTTGACTTACCGCCCATGAGGAAGAGCAGACCTGCCACATACTGCATGAGGCCACGGTCCCAGCAACATCCCAGCATCCCAATGATCCAGCCGAAGAGGATGATGGCCACCGCCATTCCCATAAATCCTGCCGTCATCCTCCGCAGATCTGTGGGTGGTGAGAAATAAGGCAAGTCAAACACATGACTCAGAGCTGATAAGGGCACGGCGTGGACACGCTCTGCAAAATGACGCATTTTAATGAGCGCTTCTATAAGAACTGTACTATGTTCTATATTATTACGTTATATTCTAATATATTCATAGTTTTTTTTAAACCAGCTTCATCAGGCGATCCATGAGATGCTTTTTAAACTATTAAAAGGAGTACTTGTGTATGCTGGGCTGGACAATCTAGCATTTGAGTAGTTTGTTAGCAGAATTCAAAATTGCAATTGAAAATGAATATAACTGCATATACAAAGTTCATAAACTTTATAAATCCTGCAGTAATGCACGGCACTTGCCCTGCTGTGAGTGTTTGAGTGTGCGACAGAGTTGACTCTGTGTTAGCTAGAGGGTAGGTCACAACATTTGTGTTCGTTAGCTCTTTTTATTCTCAGTTGAATTCTCGCAGTACAGGAAAGGTGGCAGGCCCAAAACGCTGGGCACGGTGGCTTATGCCAGCCAACTGTGAAAGGGTCACAGAGTTCACCTCCAGGGCAGACGTGCCACTAGATGAGCATGCTGTAAGAGAGCTTTTATTGCTTTCTAATAGGAATGAGGTGTTAAAAGCTTTTTTTCATCAAAGTCATATCAAAACGAAAATGTCAGATATTTATGAAACAGCAATTGATCATTCCCACATCTCTTTGACAGGATATTAAGCAGATGCTTGTTTGTTATTGCTTAAATTGAAAGTGCCAGATTTCATGAGTGTATGGAAGCCCGTTTCATCCTCTAAGAAGAAATGGTAATTGCGATGTTTGCTTTTGGCACTTGTGACTTCATATTCTTAACTTTCCTTAATTTGCGACTTTAAATCTCAGTGTAATTTTATTCCTTTCAATTGCAACCATTTCGGTTAACTTCGACTTTATCACTGTATTTGTGTTTGCAATGTTATATAATAATTAATTAATTAATTTAATTTATGCATTTAGCAGACGCTTTTATCCAAAGCGACTTTCAGTGCACTCAGGCTATACATTTTTTTTTACCAGTATGTGGTAAAAAAGGTTGACTTTTCTCAGGTGACATACCTCACAATATGACTGGTTTCCATATTTTCACATTTATTTTTCACAATATGATTTCATTTGTTGTAATTACAGCTGTTTTCAGTAATTGCAACACTATGGGACATTAGTGTAGTTTTATTTCTAGTAACTGCAACTTTTACCTTTTAACTGCAGGTTTATGTCTCACAATGTTACTATTTCCAGTATTTGCAGCATTATTTCTCACAATGTTTAATCATTTCTCAAAATTGCTTTTTGCAAAAAAGTTTTCAGTAATTGTAACTTCAAAATGTGACAATAGCCTGATTCGAAGGTAATTGTTTCTCATATGGACGTCTGTAAAAATAAATTTACATATCACCTCAGTGATAAAACTGATGGATTCGGATGGATTCACAGTGGAGGAGCGAGTTCTGTGATCCTACGAACCCGGGAACGTGCTGCTCACATGGCCAGTCACATGATTGTCTAGCATTTGAGTAGTTTGTTAGCAGAATTCAAAATTGCAATTGAAAATGAATATAACTGCATATACAAAGTTCATAAACTTTATAAATCCTGCAGTAATGCACGGCACTTGCCCTGCTGTGAGTGTTTGAGTGTGCGACAGAGTTGACTCTGTGTTAGCTAGAGGGTAGGTCACAACATTTGTGTTCGTTAGCTCTTTTTATTCTCAGTTGAATTCTCGCAGTACAGGAAAGGTGGCAGGCCCAAAACGCTGGGCACGGTGGCTTATGCCAGCCAACTGTGAAAGGGTCACAGAGTTCACCTCCAGGGCAGACGTGCCACTAGATGAGCATGCTGTAAGAGAGCTTTTATTGCTTTCTAATAGGAATGAGGTGTTAAAAGCTTTTTTTCATCAAAGTCATATCAAAACGAAAATGTCAGATATTTATGAAACAGCAATTGATCATTCCCACATCTCTTTGACAGGATATTAAGCAGATGCTTGTTTGTTATTGCTTAAATTGAAAGTGCCAGATTTCATGAGTGTATGGAAGCCCGTTTCATCCTCTAAGAAGAAATGGTAATTGCGATGTTTGCTTTTGGCACTTGTGACTTCATATTCTTAACTTTCCTTAATTTGCGACTTTAAATCTCAGTGTAATTTTATTCCTTTCAATTGCAACCATTTCGGTTAACTTCGACTTTATCACTGTATTTGTGTTTGCAATGTTATATAATAATTAATTAATTAATTTAATTTATGCATTTAGCAGACGCTTTTATCCAAAGCGACTTTCAGTGCACTCAGGCTATACATTTTTTTTTACCAGTATGTGGTAAAAAAGGTTGACTTTTCTCAGGTGACATACCTCACAATATGACTGGTTTCCATATTTTCACATTTATTTTTCACAATATGATTTCATTTGTTGTAATTACAGCTGTTTTCAGTAATTGCAACACTATGGGACATTAGTGTAGTTTTATTTCTAGTAACTGCAACTTTTACCTTTTAACTGCAGGTTTATGTCTCACAATGTTACTATTTCCAGTATTTGCAGCATTATTTCTCACAATGTGACTTCATTTCTCAAAATTGCAACTGTTTTCAGTAATTGTAACTTCAAAATGTGACAATAGCCTGATTCGAAGGTAATTGTTTCTCATATGGACGTCTGTAAAAATAAATTTACATATCACCTCAGTGATAAAACTGATGGATTCGGATGGATTCACAGTGGAGGAGCGAGTTCTGTGATCCTACGAACCCGGGAACGTGCTGCTCACATGGCCAGTCACATGATTGTCTGCTGTAAATAAAATTAATTTTATTTACAAATGTATTCTTATTGTTGTGTAAAATGAATTTTAAAAATACTTATTCTTATGTAAAATGTATTCTTATTATTACAAGCATATTTTATAATATATAATCCTATTTATTATTTGATTATTATTATTTGACCTGCTGCTGCCGCCACAAAGACCCATTTCGAATGTTTACGTGCTTTTCTACTCTTTCTGCTCCCAGTCGCTGTGGTGGAGCAGTCATGAAGTATTGTTATTTTAAATACTTTCCAGCATTTCACAAATGCCCTAGGCGAAATCCCTATTGCACCCCTCCCCCCTCCCAAATTTTATATATATATATAAATTATTTTCATACACCAGTTACTTGTCACATTCAAATTGGTTGTCATTGTAACGACACTAATTTGTGGAGATTCAGTGCATTGAGTTCCACAAATCTGAATGCATTATTTGTAAATTGACTGTTAAGATAAACATTTTGCACAATTCAGTATCTGTAATATCATTGTGTTGCCACTAGATACCTGTATAGCCCTATGTAACAAGCCCTAGTGACTAAGACATTGCACATAATTTAAACACAAATCACACATAAATTAATTTTATTTACATTTTAAATTGGATACTATATACTATACTACTACATATTGTTTACATATTATCAATGGCTACTTTTTTGTCTTTATCTGTTTTTTGTTCAATTTTTTTGTCGTTGTTTCTTGAAACATTGATTTAAAGTGTCAGTTATTGCATTATTATTTCAGTCAAACCTATAAAACCCCTTTGTTACCCCAAACTACATATAAAAGCTTTATCAGTGGCATAAAAGTAACCAATACAGCTAGTTAGCCATTTGCTACTCATTAACGCATTAACGTCCCCTTTAAATAACGTGACGCTCTGCCCTCTATGACGCTGCTCCCATTAAGCGCTGTTGGAAGTGAATGAATTGATTCAGCATTTCGACACCTCCGTAAGGATGCATTTAACTCGACAAAGCGATCTAATAAAGGATGTATTGATCTTGTGTATTAGCGAATTTTACTATACAAATATTTTTAAATTGGATGTTAAAGTTTATATAGGAGAATTACATGACACACTGATCCTTTAAAAATGCATTGGCGCAAAAAACGCACCCCTTTTGGACAAACCTGCCACAAATATTTGGACAAATGTGCCACAAATACTGCCTAAACAAATACTGATTTTGTACACTTTATTTACTGTACCAATATTTTAAAT